GTATAAAAATAATTATTTTAATTTTTTTTTTTTTTTTTTAATTTATAAATATTAATTTTTTTTTTTTTAATTTTTTTTATTTTAATTAATATTAATTTTAATTATTTTTTTTTTGTTTTTATAATTTGTTTAATTTTAATATTTTAATTTTTTTTTTAAATTTTATTTTTTTTTTTTTTTAAATTTTAATTTTTTATTTTTTTTTTTATTTAAATATTCTGAAACTGATTAACAACCCCCTCTGTTACTTAACTGACCAGATCAATATCCCAGGAGTTTAATTGACTTGATGCTATACTCTGATTAAAAAGCGTCCCTTTAATTTTTTTTGAACATTGTATATAGAAACACAGAAATGGAGAAAAGTGACGGCAGAAAAAGACTTGGTGGTCCATCAAGACTGCCCTTTTTTTTTTTACTTGTGGGGGAGCGGTTTGTTGTTTTTTTTTTTTTTGTTAACTTTTTTCTTTGAGTATAGATCTGTGCTTGCCCCACACATGTTTGAAGCTATTTACTGTTAACTGGCTCACTACCTCTGCTGGAAGTTTATTCCAAGCATCAGCTACTCTTTCAGTAAAATAGTATTTTCTGAGATTAGTTTTGAGTTTTCCTCCCAGTTAGTTTAAGGTCGTGTCCCCCTGTTCTTGATTTTGGTTTCACAACCACAATCTGGTATCTATCCTTTATCCACTGACCCACCCAAGGGATAAGTTCTAGCTTGTACAACTTTTGTATTAAATCATTATGTGGAACTGTATTAAATGCCTTGATTAAATCAAGATATGTCCACAGCACCACCCTGGTCCAAAACATTAGTAATATAGTAAACAAAATCCAATGAGATTAGTCTGACATGATCTGCCCTCGGTAAAGCCATGCTGCTTTGAAAACCAGCAATTTGTGTGTTTTTAAGTGATCAATGATCCTTCTTTGCTGTAACAGTTCACTCAGTCTGTATCCTTGTACCTTTCCCTGCAGTTTGCATATCATTTTTATTCATTAATGTTAACGTTTGATGACATTTCTTTTTTTGCTGTCTTTTTTCAGTTATTTTTTTTTTTGTCTTTCCTTTCCAATTCTCCTCCACCTGTCTTTCTGATTTTGTTGTATATATAACTCCTGAGATGTTTTTAAGACTGACTAAGGTTTATTGCTGAAATGCTTAAGCTGCTGTATTTTGTACATTCTGCCTGTTACAATAAAGTGACTTATTCAGAGAATGAGTTGCCAGCTCTCCACGCTACCCTCTCATGTTATGTTGGTATTAGGAAGACACTGTGAGCTGGAACACCATCTGTCTACCTCCCCGGGGTATTCATTTGAGCGTTGTTTTCTCTTTTCCATCAACTAAAAATCTGCCCAATAACAGTCAGATTTGCAGAATTCTTTGAACCATTTATTGTCCTAGGGAGTAGTGTTACCAGTACCCTTACAAAACCGGTTCATATAATTATGTTCAAACCTTTACATGGTAGCAAAACCCTTAGGGGGTATCCTCGTAATCCTAGTTCTCAAAATTCCTAAACAATACCTTAAAATTCTAAAACTTCCCATGTAATCCGAAAAGTCAGTTTATTACCTTTCTGAGACAAGTTGAATACTCGATGTCCGAAGACATCCAAGATGCCTATCTGCATACTCCCATTTATCCACCTAATTAGTTCTTTACACACTTTGCAGTAGGATATAATCACTTTGTTGCACTGCCATTAGGCCTGTCCTCTGCCCTCAGAGTATTCACAAAGGTCTTTGCACCTCTTATCGCTCTTCTAAGAACTCAGGATATCAAGGTCAGAGGTTATCTAGACAGCCTTTGTCTAAAGCAGGGGTCTTCAAACTTTCTAAACATAGGGCCAGTTTTACTGCCCTTCATACTTTGGGGGGGTGGACATTGGTGTCAGTGGAGGAATGACGACTCATATTGGTTTCAGTGGGAGGAATAGTTTGTCATCATTGGTAGTGGAAGGAATAGTACCCCGGCATTGATGTCAGTGAGAGGAGCAGTGCCCCATCATTGGTGTCGGTGGGAAAAACAGTGCCCCATCATTGGTGTCAGTGGAAGGAATAGTACCCCATTGTTGGTGTCAGTGGGATAAATAGTACCCCATTGTTAGTGGAAGGAATAGTGCCCCATCGATGGTGTCAGTGGCAGGAATTATGCCCCATTGTTGTCAGTGGGAGGAATAGTGTGTGTTATCAGTTAGAGGAACAGTGCCCCAAGGGCCAGAAAAAGGCTACATGACAATTCAGATTCTTCAGGCTTTCAGATGGATGATTAAATGTAAAAAAATCCGCTCTTCAACTTTCTCTTCTCTTGGAATACTTGGGTCTGATCCTAGACACATCTCGAGCAAAATTCTTTGCAGAGAAGAAACTTCTTACTCTCAGAGCTCACACCTGGGACTTGACATCAAAGAGTCTTTCTTCCGTGAGATTCTCCATGAGAGTTCTGGGTCTCACGGTAGCCTCTTTATGTGGATGCTCCATCCACTCCATTTCATTCATGACCTCTCCAACACTACATTATCTCTTGGATGGAGAAACACTGTCCAGCGATCTCTGATGTCCACATCTCAGGAGTAGATAACTGAAAGGTGAATTAATGCATTTGTCATTGCCTACACCAAAGGGAATGGGCCCTTCACCCTGACATCTTCAACCTGATGTGTCTGAGGTTGGCGACCCCGGATGTGGATGTCCTGCCTTCAAAATTCAACAAGTTACTTCTGTTAGCTGCCAGCACCAATGACCCTTTAGCACTGGTATTGGACGCCTTGATAATCCCCTGGTTTCAGTTCAGGCTTATCTATGCCTTCCCTCCAGTCCAAATTCTACCTCAGCTGCTCCACAAAATAGTGCAATGGAAGAAACTGGTGATTCTCATTGCACCAAATTAGCCAGAATAACCTGGTACACAGACATACTCAGACTACTAAGAAAAGACCCCTGGCCTCTCCCCAGCAGGGTCTGGTTCACACATATGCATTTTTTTTTTTTTGTTTTTCGTGTTTTGCAGAAACTCACTATAGTCCATTTAATATGGTTTCCTATGGGACATGTTCACATCTATGCATTTTCAGCCACTGTGTTTTTGGAAAGGGTCAGTGACTTTTCCCATAGCAGATTGCAACACACATACAGTAGGTGTGAACCAGGCCTTAGGGCGCCCACCTTATTCCATCCTGTCCTTAGTCACTGGCTTTAGTAGAATGGCTGTTGAAGCCCAGGTCTTGTGGGACAGAGGGTCTCTGAGCCTGTCATTCCTATTTTACTAAAAGCAGTAAAAGCCACTTTCAGAAATATATACCATTCTAGCCTGTGTGAACACAAGTACTTTGATCGCAGACACTACTCTGGTCTTCCTACAATCAGGACTTGATCAGCATGTGGCCTTAAAAGAGAAGCACAGCCAAAGCTTGGTTGGCTGTACTTTTGTGGATCACGGAAGTGCAGTTCATTCTACACTCCTGTGACTCGTTTTCAGCCAACAGTGAAGCCCACCATCCGCTGACATCACAGAGCCAGTCTAGGCTGGAGAAAGATCGTGACTATATGTTGGGGATGTACCCAAGAGCCTTTCAGCAAGCCGCTCAGAACCTGAGCCAGCCGCTCCTGCCCTGTCCACTACTCTGTGCTCGGGGGTGGGGGTGCGCAGAGCACTGAGAAATGAGCGATCAGCAGTGTCTGATTGCTCAGTTCTTAGTCTTGAAAAAAGGCAACATCAGACCGATGTATGATTTTTACAGTATGAAGTGTAAATTCTATTCTTCTTACAAAAAAAGACAAACATCTCTTTTAAAGTGATTCAAAAGGATTACATTGAAAAAAAACACATGTCTATACTTACCTGCTGTGTGCTGTGTTTTTGCACAGAGCAGCCCAGATCCTCCTCTTCTGGGGTCCCCCACTGACACTCCTGGCCCTTCCCTCTTGTCGGGTGCCCCCACAGCAAGCAACTTGCTATGGGGGCACCCGCTGCGCCGTATGTTTATTCACTCTCTTCTCATTGGCTGACTGTGATTGCCAACAGTGGGAGCCAGTGGCTCCGGCTGCTGTCTCAGCCAATGAGGAGAGGGAATCCCGGGATAGTTGAGATTCCAGTGCAGCTTTTGATCACAATGTTCTTGCAACTGCACTGTTCAATTGGTTGACCGTTGTTGCTGGTTGTTTCCCCACTCTTTGCATTCGCAATCCCACTGTCTATGAAAACTTGGACTTTGTCCCATACTGTTTGATTAAAATAAGAGGAATTTAGCCTTACCTGTACATTCCAAATGTCACAGCACAGTGCAGGACAAAGTATATCCTCTCTCTTCCTGGATTACTCTGCATTAATTTGTACAAAACTGTAGACTCACGAAGTAGGGTGGGGTGTTAGGCAAGGTGCCCAGAGTGCATATCCTCAAAAGCTTGCCAGTGTCTAAACATTTGAAGGTATCGGCCTGTAACCCAGGATCTATGAATGTCAAGCATGTGTCCTGTACTGTACTCTTAGATATTACTCCCAGATATGGAAATTAAAGGTAAGTCAAAATTACTTTTTTGCTGTAGATCTTGACAAAATACTTGTGATCTGATGTCCACCTTTGCTCTCTGCTTGTGTCATCTCAAGGAGTTTAATCAACACTCCCAATTCTTCTCTAGGAATTCAGAACACCTACTACCTATGCTAGGGGGGTATTCTGTAACTCAGGAAAAGACCATTGGACAGGGCTGACAACAATGCTTGCAATTCCAGTCAGCAAAGACGCCGCATTGTCAGCCCACAGTAGAGAAACAGGAGCTGGGTGCTTTTTTTTGACAGGGATAAAAGGTATTATTTTTGTACTTGCAAGGTCTTTAGAACATGGAGAGATCTGTATGTATTATAGAGATAAATTGCACATTTTGAAAATTTTTATTTTACCGACATATTCTTTAAACACCAGGCAGGGAATCCATACTTTTTGCATGTGTCAACTTTGGTTTCTTTTGTTTCTAAGTTTTGGTTTATTAAACTACAGGGACTTACAGAAGCATTTTTGGAATATCTCTGGAAGAAACTGCAGAATCCAAATAACCCTGCAATAATCAGACAAACAACTGCAAGTTATATTGGGAGTTTCCTTTCTCGAGCCACTTTTATTCCTTTGGTGTAAGTCATGCATACTAAATTCCTAAACATTCAGCAAAAATTAGCAACACGAGTAGTTATGTCAGAAATATACAAGTATTGTGTAGCGCTTATGCACTAAATGTACAAAAATGTAGTCTGTAACATCTGTTAGTAGAAAAGGTACATACATATGGTGTTTCTTTCATACAGTATATTTGTGTTTCAGGACTGTGAAGGCCTGCCTTGATCTCTTAGTTAACTGGTTGCACAGTTACATTGACAACCAAGATGCTGGAAGTAGGGCTTTTTGTGCTGTTACATCCCATGGACCATTTTACGCTGTTTGCCAGGCAGTATTCTATACGGTTATCTTTCGGCATAAGGAGCTTTTAGAAGGAAACTTGCAGAAAGGTACTACAAACCTCTGTATTTTCAGTTGTTCTTTCATTGCATGTGTTATCTAATTTGTGTTTTTTCACAAGGCATGTGTAACTCAAACATCATGCTGTGGCTTGCTAAACTTGAAATTTGTCTTGACGTTGTATATAGTGCTGCTTTTATACCCATAACATCCCTTTGTCTCCACACAGCCACTCACTCAAGTAGAGGGTGTGTATCAGGCCAAGACTGGGACGAAAAATAGGCCCGGCATTTTAGACTGAGCAGCCCATTTTTATTTTTTTTTAAACCAAATGACAAATAATGACAACTACCGGTTTCTCGATGTCTTATTGTTATATTTAGTCTGCTTCAGCCACTAATTGATTGTAGTCCCTGCTAGATGATTCCTAGAAGTTACTGCACATTACTACTGCTTACCCATTGGTTGCTGGGCTTGGGGAGGGGGGTGATCAGTGGCAGTGGTGGGCGGGTGGGATGGAATGAGTTGCAGTGCTGATGGGGGGATAAGATCAGTGGCAGTGCTGGGTGGGTGGCATCAGTGGCACTACTGGAGGGTAGGGTGGGATCAGTGGCTTTGCTGGTGGGGGGAGGATGAGGGTGGGATCAGCAGCAGTGTTGGGGGGTGGAATTAGTGGCAGCCCTGGGGGAGAAGACAAGGTCAGTGGTAGTGCTGGGGGGGATGGGATGAGTGGCAGTGATGTGGGGGGGGGGGGGGGGTATGATGAGTAGCAGTGCTGGTGGGTAGTTTGGATCAGTGGCAGTGCTGATGGGATGAGTAGCAGTGCTGGGGCGGAGGAGGGATGAGTGGCAGAGCTGGGGGTGAGGATGGGATGAGTGGCATTGCTGGGGGGTGATTGGAATGAGTGGCAGTGCTGAGGGGGAGTATGGAATGAGTGGCAGTGCTAGAGGGGATGGGATTAGTGGCAGTGCTGGCGTGGAGGGTAGATTTAGTGGCAGTGCTGGGGTGGAGGGTGGAATTGGTGACAGTGTTGGGGGGGAGGGGGGAAGGGGGCATGTTGGGGGGGGGGTGAGATCAGTGGCAGCGCTGGGGGGGATGGGATGAGTGGCAGGTGGCTTCTCCATTAGGCTCACTGAAGAAAAGAGAAGGAAAGCACTGTACATTGCCTGCTGGCTCAGCAGAAATCAAGGTCATCTGCTGATCTGAGGACTGTAGTGTGGGACTATTAATGGCAACTTTTATCACTCACAGTGGTACTCCCTTTGTTTCCAGCTCCTTGGTCTCTGCAGCAGTGACACCTATGCCGAAATCATGAGATGGGGTCTTCTCCAGCTCCTCTCCCTTCATGGTCATCACAGATCAACTGACCTCTAGTCTCCGTCCACTGGCTATGCTGTGAAGTGAATGGCAGGCCGCTGAGAGGCTAGTCACGGGTCAGCTGACCTCTAGTCTCCTCCCCCAAACATGCTGTGAAGTGAATAGGTGGCCGTGTACTGGCTGGTCACGGGTCAGCTAACCCCTAGTTTTCGCTCCTGCCATGCTATGAAGTGAACAGGTGGCCACCGAGAGGCTGGTCACGGGTCAGCTGACCTCTAGTCTCCATCCGTCGGCCATACTATGAAGTGAATGGGAGGCCATGGAAAGGCTGGGTGGGCTCAAGAGGCAGCACAGCTGCTTTTGGCCCCACAAGAACATTCGGGCCTATGGCCAGTCCGGCACTAGTGTGTATACAGTATAGTATATCTTTTGTGGCTAATAATACTCATCAGCACATCTAGTTTGAATACATCCTGGGCATCAGGGAAAGGAAAGAATGTAATTTAGCAAAATCGGAAGACTTATCTGTTGGTTAGTCTTTCTCTTATTTGCTCTCGCTTACTTCACCTATACTGTACACATCTTTAAACAAAAGTCACTTATATTGTAACTCATAATACAGTGATCACACCTTGGCTACAATGGGGAGGAGGAGTACAGTGAAGGAACATAGTAAGACCCTATCTGATTGACTCTTCCTCTTTTGTTTGTTTTCTCAGTCTATATCATCTCCAAACAGACAGCAATAGATTTTGATAAATCATAACTCAAATCCTAGCAACTTTCCAAAACATTGGCTTGATTAGGGGAAAGTTAAAGGCCCCAACATGAAAAGTGTACTGCAAAACAAGTTACAAATTATTACCAATATATCCACAGTCCAGAACTAGTTACACTATTGTAGTAAAATAGTTTTACAAGCAGAATTAAAATAATACTTTTAAATGTAAAATCTGTACCCAAATATATTTAGGATAATTAACCACTTGCCCTCCAGAGGTTTTACCCCCCTTAATTACAGGCCTCTTGTTTCTACTCAGCACTGCACTAATTCAACTGATAATTGCTCAGCAATGCTGTACCCAAACTAAATGTATGTCCTTTTTTTCACACAAATAGAGCTTTCTTTTGGTGGTATTTGATCACCTGTGCGCTTTTTATTTTTCGCACTATAAACAAAAAAATAACAAAAATTTTGGAGAAAAACAATATTTTTTACTTTCGGCTCTAAAAAATTCAAAAGTAAACTCAAAGTTAATTATAAATTTAGGCCAAAATGTATTCTGCTACGTTTTTGGTAAAAAAAAATCCAAATAAGTGTATATTGATTGCTTTGTTTGAAAGTTGTAGCGTTTACAAACTATCGTATAGATACTTAGTGTTGCACTATGGCATTCTTTGTGCTTGGGCTCATTTCCCTATGAGCCTGCCTTTTAAAAGGAGACCATTGGATGATATCTTAACTGCTGGCTCCCTCTGGTGGATTTCGTTTGCAATACATACACATTGATGCTGGGCTAAAGACCTTTGATGACATCCTGTTTGTTGGCTCCCTCTGGTGGATTTTGACTGCATCTCAAGTATCTGGAAACGTGGCTGATACACTGCAATTCCTGTTGCTGCCCATCGGATGATCCGAATCCTAGATGTCCAACTTTAGATGACCCATGTATCATCAATCTTATGAGCATTAATAAGCGCTGTCTGGTTAGTGCAATCCACACCTATATCTACCACCAATGTCACCATTGCTATCCTGATCTTTTGAAAGACTGTCACGTTCATACCACATATTTGCACCGTTTCGGAAAAACCCGTATAATATACGGATGTATATAGCGTCTCTAAATATCGGAAGAAATTATTGCTTAAACAACTTAAGCAATAATTTCTTCCGATATTTAGAGACGCTATATACATCCGTATATTATACGGATTTTTTTACATATATTTTATTAGTAATAATTTATGATAATTACTATCCATCTCAGCGCTGCATGTTTTATATATCATATTCAGATGGTTCTGAGGTTATTACCTTTCATGCTAGCAGCTCCATTCGCTTAGATCTAGCGCTCGTTTTCTTCTATATATTTTTATGGTATAGATACTGCAATTTCCGCAATTTTTTTTGCTATACAGCGCTGCACTAATTTAACTGACAATTGTGTGGTCATGAAATTTATGTCCTTTTTTTCACACAAATAGAGCTTTCTTTTGGTGGTATTTGAGCACCTGTGCGCTTTTTATTTTTGGTGCTATAAACAAAAGTTTTTAGCAAAAATTGTTTTTTTGAAAAACACAATATTTTCTCATTTCTGTCATAAAACAATCTCCAAAAAAACTAAAATTTCATCATAATTTTAGGCCAAAATGTATTCTGCTATATGTTTTTGGTTAAAAATCCCAATAAGTGTATATTGATTGATTGTGAAAGTTATAGCATTTAAAAACTATGGTATAGATAATGGAATTTACACAGCTTTTACTCTGACTGCCCATTACATTTTTTGAGGCGCTAAAATACCAGGATAGTAAAAACACCCCCAAATGACCTCTTTTCGGAAAGTAGACACCCTATTCTATCTGCTGAGAGGCAATCTCAATGGAAAATTTATCTAATCTTTAATATAAAAGTCAATGGAAGATTTTTTTTTTTTTTTTTTTTTTTTTTCACAAGTTTCTGAAAAATGACAAAAACATTTTTTTTTTGTAAAAGTTGTCATTTAAATTATATATTTCTTGCACAAGCCATGGGTAGATGTGGAATTACACCCCAAAATACATTCTACTACTTTTAACAAGTATGGGGATACCACATGTGTGAGACTTTTTGGGAGCCTAGCCACATGCATGAGTCTGAAATCCAATGACCACTTTGAAAGCCTGAAGGTGCGTAACTTCCTCATTTCACTTCCTCACTACCTATCACAGTTTCGAAGGCCCTGAAATGACAGGATAGCAGAAAAATAATTTTTCTATTGATTCAACATGCCTCTCAGCAAATAGTTTGGGTTGTCTACTTTCCAAAAAGGGGTCATTTTGGGGGGTGGGGGCATTTTATGCCCAGCATTAGAAGTTTATGCCACACATCATTCCCTCTTCTAACCACCTGAAGATCAAGCCTTTTCTGACACTTTTTGTTCACATGAAAACAAATCAGAATTTTTTGCTAAGAAATTAATTTAAACCCCTAAACATTATTTATTTTTTTAAAGCGAACACCCTAGTGAATAAAATGGTGGGTGTTGCAATTTTTTATGTCACATAGTATTCGTGCAGTGATTTTTCAAAAGCAATTAAAAAAAATATATATATTGGCCAATTATTTGGTAAAATATAAAAGATGATGGTATGCAGAGTAAATAGATACCAAACATGACATGCTTTAAAACTGCGCATGCCCCATGCAATGGCTACAAATTGCATACGTTTTTAATATCCATAGGCAATGTTTTAAAAGCCTTTACAAGCTGCCATTTTCGATTTACAGAGAAGGTCTAGTGTTAGAATGACTGCCCTTGATCTGACGTTCATGGCGATACCTCACATGCATGGTGCAGCCGTTGTTTACATACCTTCACAGGGTCAACGCTCGCACACGCATGTGGGGGGGGGGGGCGGGCAAGGGTGATTTTTTTTTTTTGTTATTTTGATTTTTTTTTAAATTATTTTTACACTGTCTTTTTTCATTTCCCTCCGGCGGAGCTCTGACGGGCCGAAGCGGTTTGAGGCCTACCGCGGCACGAGGCCTACCGCAGCACCCGAAGCCGCAGTGTTTCCTGC